TTGCTCAATAAATCTCCAGTTCCAATCTCCGGAGTTCTCCCGAGTTTGTATATTACACACGGTTGACCATTTGATTCCGCTCCGCAAATATGTATGAAATTCACTTCTAATCAAAAAGGCCAAAAATCGGAAATACTTTCAAAAGACTAATCCAGAAAAGCTTGAGGGTAAATTAAAAGCGCCGTGCTGGTTGACAAGCTGTACTCAGACGCTGCGCTACCAACAATGCACTAATTTCGCTTATCTTACAATATGATGTCAGATCGCTTTTCGAATAAACTGATAATCTTGGCAGCCTTTTACAACGAATGGACTTTCCGAAGGCATGTATAGTGATGTTAAAGAAAGTTGATTACATCTCGACATTAGAGATTTAGTCGTGAAACTCGATGGCTATTGACATACCAGAGCCGACTGCCTAGGAAAGTCTTACGAACGCGGAGGAGGTATGATCACTAACGAACAATGGTGCACATCGGTTTCATAGCCGTCCACCTACGCAACAACCACAATAAGTTATCAGCTATTGGAATCTAAAGCTAAGTTTCTTAGTGGTTTTCTAGCTGTTGAAGTTGGGAACGTTTATATAACGCCTAACACAGCAGTGTCAGAGAGAAAAATGTTTGCAGATCACCTTGTCTTGGAATTATAACCGAAGATAGAATGTGCCATCCGCATTAATGCTGGTGACTTCAATAGAACTGACACAGATGTCATTAAAGTGCTGGGTCCAACCGACTTGGTAGAATTCCCTGCCAGACTTGACACACATTTGAATTTAGCTTTTACTAACAAACATAAGCCGTTTTCCACAAAAGACGCGCCCCACTTGGCAATTCCGACCATTGTAACGGGAAGATATGCACAAAGATTTACTGTAAGACCAATTACGTAGCGATTATAAGAAGGCCATTCAGAGCTTTTAGGCAGAAAACATTGTAAAGTTTAAATCCACGCACAACGCAACCGACTTCTCAATCTTCGCCAATGAGCATCTGTCAGCTCAGTGCGAACACCTCACAGATTTTGTCAATGTATGTTACAATCTTTATTGCCCCATTGAGACTATCTATCTTCGGATTGATAGATTTTCATTCCCACTACTCAAGAAACTGAGCAGCAAAAATGAATAGCATAACAAAAACAAAATAGCAACTCGCGTCAAATGTCTATCTGTGGATATAAAAGTCGAGATAAAAGGTTAGTCTATATATCGAAGCCGTTTTAGGAAACCGCAGTTGCTATGACTTGCCAAGGCACTTGAAGAAGCTCACCGGGAAAGATTCTAGCTTTGCACAAGGTACTGTGGATGTGGGAAACCGTAACGCATATTTTAGCTCATCAGTAGCAAACACATTCTTCGTACTTCGTTTCCCCATCAATGACCCTCCCATCTTACTTGACCATATCAGTTTTAAAAAAGAACTCACAAGACTTAAGCCAAACAAGGCAAGTGGGCTTGTTTCCCCGTTGTCAATCGCTTTGAAAGAGTAGGCTAATGCACTACAGTCACATTTGACAGAGCCTTTCTGTCGTTTTTTAACGACTGGCACAATCCCAACATCTGGAAAGAAGCCAGAATAACACCTATGATTAAGAAGGGATCACAAAGGTATCGGCCAATAGCGTGTACCTCCGTGATGCTGAAAGTCCTTGAAACACTACTAGCTCCCCGATTCTTTATAAATAATCATAAGACTGATGTTACACGGTTTGCATACAACTCAGGGCACTCTACTCTGGATGCCGTTTCGTACCTTGTGCATTCCATTGCACCTACTTTGGATAAAAAATGCAAGACTGTGCGGCTCTTGTTCCTTGATAAAACTAATACCTTTTGGAAGCTTGACATATCCTTACTACGAAAATTTTTATACAAAAATGGACTTCCCCACACGAACGTAATGTAATAGTGACTATTTTGCGAATTGCACACACTTTACACACTTATACGGCAGAAGATCCTCTACAATCCCAGCAAAATCTGGATTCATACAAGGATGTACTCTATCACCCTTTAAGTTTTCTTTCTATGCTGAGTCTCTGCCTATACCAACCAGTTTCAGCGGGTGTAAATACGCTAACGACGTCCTCCTAGGATGTATAACCCCCGTCATAGAAGAACCTTTAAAAGTCCAACGAAGCTCTGACGAATTTTTGACTTAGTCAAGCTCATGTTCCCACCACTTAACCCTTCTAAGTATTGTGAAATGTCATTCTCTTTTCTCCGCCATGACAGACTGCATAAGTTTTTAACCTTTCTTCTCCTTTGGTTGTGAGTGACCAAAACATCCCTTGTTCATATTCTGTAAAGTTTCTTGGTGTGTTCTTTTCCTATTATTTATCCTAGTGGACGCATATTCTTGCGTTTACAAAAAGTCAAAAGACTATCTCTTCTAGGCTCAAAATGCTCTCCGTACTGCGTGAACTAATTCTAAGGTTTGCAAATACACGTATTCTCCACCAGTAGCTGTACCATTCACCTGTTATTTTCCCTGGAATAAATCAAAAGGATTATACTTTTCGTATGAGATCAGTAAAATTTAGTTCCCGTTGCTCTGGATTAAGCAGAGAAATCCTTGCTGATTTCGTAGTTAGCGAGTATCTTAACGTATGTCTTAACTTCTCATGCAAGATTCTAAGAGACCTGTCTCACCTTCTATACGCCATTTTAGATGGTTCAGAACACTTTTCCACGCGGTCTAAATGTAAAGTTTTGAGTTCCCGTACCACTTTGCAGCGCAAATCCATTTTGCCTTATCTGTCTCGCTTGCTCGGCGAGCTAAGAGTGATGATTCAGCAGTCGCGAGAATGTTCGCTTGCTTAAAATATGTACTCCTTTTGCTGTCCGTGTCATTTTACATCATTTTCCCACCGATATTTTGTTGTACTATGTCCGCAGTGTTAGTGTAACTTGCTGAAAATGTTCCTACACAGGTGTATAAGAAGCTTATCTTGAATTGGCTTGACATGAAGGATAAACAAAGAGACACTGTCACGCAACTCCGAACATGAAACCAGCAGCGCCCATACAAGGAAGTGAATGATCGCAATGGGACTCCACAGCAGGCTGAAGGACTGCTCGCATGCGATCGCAAAAGGCTTGATGAGGTAGAGTGGGTTCCGCTGGTGGCAAATACGCAAGAATGAACCGCGAGCAGTTATGGTGAGGTGAACCACTCGGTAGCCAATAAAAAACGTAATCAAGTAAATTGCTAATGAATTTCTAATTATGTTGCTCCGGTTAATGAGCCTATTGTCCTTGCGACTGATGAGAATGTCAAGGTATGGAAGACGTCCAGTATATCGGGATTCAAAATTCGCACTCAGGTTGCAGTAAACACTATGAATTTGGTCTACTAATCGCACGACTTGCATCCTCGAGGAATCGAAAGTAAGAATGTCAACTGCACATCAAGTAGATTACCGCAGCCGAGAAATCTCTTCACTTAGTTTTCTTTCAGGTATTCGAATGAAAAAATCAGCCAGTACCGGGTAAAACGGATTAGCAATAGCCAATCTATCGGCTTGGCGATATGTGTCTTGGAATCGAAAAGCGACATTCTCTGTGCAAAGTAACGGGACTGTTTCAGAAGATCTACCGGTACCAGTAAAGGAAACTTCAAGGTAGAGCTTGCTGCCAGGCCTGAACTGGCCAACCTCAGCACTATGCGCTCATGTGTTAGGTATTACGAGAACAATGTCTTGCAAGTACCGATGAGTGGTCTTTATTACACTTGGCAACCGGTGGCCATGGCTGAGCCACAAATTACCATCAGATAGGCACCGGCGCATTGTGCCTAGTTATTTTATCAATCGTGCACATCATCAGCAGCAACAACAACAGCAGTACATCAGACATTTGAATTGAGGCTTCGCTGCCATACGACCACGATAACCTAATGAATACCGAATAATAAGAGGGAGAGAAGGGGAACTTACCGGAAACCCTTAACGCACTAAGCAAACATTCAGAGTCAAGGCGCCTAGACCTTGTTTAAACTACATAGCGTCACAAACAGCTAGCTATCGTTCAAAGATAAGGCGACATCGGCGAGACAGCTTCTTTGCGGCTTTCACTTCCCCGCGGCATAGTCAGACATTACCACGCAGATAACTGGGCACAAAACACACGTTAAACAGGCAGCTCGACTAGGAGACGGCAGCAGACACGCCACTGATGTCGGTTGCGAGCTATGTCTAGTTGAGTCTCCAGCCAAGCACAAGGCGGGTCACGTGAACTCCAGCCCGGAAGGCAAGGCGGACCAAGGGGCACCAACTTCTGTCCTCAGTGACTTCATTTCCCGCTGCTAAGTCAACTTTTGTCCACCTGGAGCCTTGCGCCACCCTACACCTGGTAGACTAAACAAGGCCCTCCTAGGTAAGCGGTGACCAGACATACGTAGCCCGTGCCAAAGCCAACCCAACTTATTCAGTGCTATCTGTTGTTCTAGCGAGATAGCATGATTATCACTACCTAATACTCGTCTACGCACATCATCGTTGCGGACACGCTGGCGCCATCCGACACCAGCGATGCTTCGCAGACAATGAGAATCGAAGATTTGAAGAAGCCTCAGATCTTCAGACCGAAGGGGCCATGTCTCACTCACATAGAGCAGGACGGCCCACATTGTGGCCTTGTATACACGGTTTTCCAGACGAAAAGAAACACTCCTTTGTAGCCAATGATGTCGCAGGTTCAAGAAGGCAGTTCTGGCTTTTTCAATGTGTGAATTAAAGTTCAGTTTCTATGTGCTCATCGTTGCTGATGCCGCTGCTAAGGTAACTGAATCGATCAATCAGCTCGAGTTCCTCGTTACCAAGTGTTAGTGGGTCATCAAGTGGCTGATGGCCCTAAAACAACACTGCAGTTTGTAGGTGCGGAGCGCTTACTAAATAAGGAGACCACTCTAGACAGCCTATTCAAAGTTGACCGGGCCGCGGCAACATCATTAAACAGCAACGTGATATCGTCCGCATAATCAGGATCAATTAACCTTTCACCAGGCAGGGCCTCAATCCCTACATCGTAGGATTCTGTAAGGGAACACTCCATGATAGAGTCCCTGAAGAAATTGAACAAACAAGGGGAAATCGGACAACCCTGAAGAATCCCACTCGTACTGTTTTCCGGGTTACTGTTCTGCAGGGACAGGTTCATCTAAATTTTTAAGGTTATATGTCCAAAGTCTCCATATACCACCTACTTTTATTAGCAGTTAATATGCTGACGATGCGCTGAGGTACATGGTTCCAAATGTTCAGCATAATTCGATAATTAAGCGTTTCGTAGTAGAGATGAAAAAAGCCTTATCCAGAAACACCACTCTTAGCGCTTCAGAAACGAAGTATTCGCATTTCTTCGCAGTGACGAACTATGGTCTGTTATAGATATATCCCCACCCTGACTGTCGAAGACAACCTTATATCTGGCTCACCTATCGTCAATTATCTCGCCATCTTTTTGTACGAAAACCGCGTGTGGTCCGCGCACACTGGTTAAGCGTTTCGCAAAGTCAGATCACTTTCTTCACTCTAGGGCTAAAGATGTTACCAGCGCTTCGTCGCATAATATTTAAGTTTGTGTCTTCATGCATCCTCCAATTGGCTATATATACCTTCTGACATAAACTCTGGAATGCTTTAGAAAAATCAGACCTTACTGGCGAGATCAACAGCATGCATTTCAAGACGCAGAGGCTTAGCAACGTGAGTTCCTTGCTGACAAACTGGTTTCTAGGCAGCTGGGAGCCCGCATTACTATTTTTCGAATTCCCAACTGGTCGTTTTATCCGATACACAAGGACCATTCAAAAAGGCTGTCATTTCATTTTACGCGTTCGAAATAATGGGTTTTATTATCTCACTCTTCGTAGTACAGCAACACTAACTAACATGCCTGCTTGTCGACCCAATGAACGCAGTGCGAGTAATGGTTAGAGTGGCCATTCCGAAACTTTTAAATATTCTCTTCACTTCTGTATTTCTTTTTGATAGTATCAAGCAGTACATGAGCAGCGGCGGTGGGAGTGATGAAAAGGTACATCACTGCTTATATAAAAATAAATTTGACTCAACTAGAGTGGTTTACAAGCAATTTTAGGAGACCAGTACATCAAGGAATGCGGCAGAACGCTAATGAAGATTCTTGAACCTTGGAACGACCATCTACCGCCACCGGTCTGAAGTCATTCCCACCGTTCAACACATACGCATTGGAATCAAATCTAACTTAGCAACCAACTACTTTTTGTAGTAATGGAGGAAGTCTTTGGGTCCGGTAGGTCAGTATTGACAAGAAGCTGGAGTGAGATCGCACAGGTTTAATGCTATGACATATCGCGTGCTAACTTAGTACCATTTCATAGCACATTGCTGCCTTTGCACTCATTCAACGGGCATTCACGAGATCAATCCATCGCTATTAAGCTCGCTACTGCCTTTCTGGCAATAATTTTGTCGGAAATTAGACGCACACCCATCTCGATCTTTCTGTGTACATATAAACTTTAGCCCCATTCAAGAGCACGCTTCGCGAACACTCCAGCGAGCCTCAATTTACAACAATGCGATATTGTGTGCGTAGTTACGGGTCATTTTTACAGTCATCTTCTTTGCATCCACCCGGCCACTGTGATTTTTGTCTTCACTTACGCTCTGCGACTGTGGCAATGCGCTCTCAAGCCTGTGCTTACAACCGTACCTCGCAGTTACCGGATCAATAAACATTCATCACCCAAATTAGTCCACGGACGGTTCACACAGAAATGAAAGTGTACAGAACGAAAGTGGGATCCTCATCAGCAGGTAACTAGAGGTTATCACCTGCACTGTACTCAAACGCCCAGCACAGCACAAAATGGAGAATGGTCAGCTTTCTTATCAGTTCTGCCGATATCATTCAAAAAAGTTTACTTGTTTTATGAAACTTCACCCACCCCTAAATCTACCACGATTACTCCATTTTAGCGTTGACTGACAGGTTCAAAAGGACTCCCAAGGCGAGCTCGTCTGAGGAAGAGATTTGAATTAAGCACCACTTCAAAGTTAACAATTCCAAACCAAATTATTAGTCTACGGTGGCGCTACATAAAGAATTTAAGAAAGAATATTGGGATCTAATATTTTCTTCTTCTGAAAACAATGAACTGGGATCCTCGCTTTCTTGCTGAAGAACTACTGACTTCGGCTGATGAAATGCACGCAAAATTCCAGACACTCTAGCGTTGCTCAGATAACGGTTGAGTAAAAAGGGCTGAGTAAGAACGCCGCATGCAGAAATCATACTAATGCAATTAAAGCAAGTACGTGCTCAGCTTAAACGGGAACCCGATTTCTCTTTTTCTATAAGACGGGACCAGCGTGAGTAAAAACCTGCACGGAGATTAACGGCTGAAAGAAACGAGCTCCGCAGCCTAACAACAAATGGAGACCTGGTCAAAATAATGCGGACACGAGATAACATCCAACCCGATAGGGTTTCCGCATCATTTGAACAGAGAAATCGTTGACCTCGGATCCTTGTACAATAACGGATGTTCTAAATAATCACTTAAGCTGATCGTACCCTGCTCCACTTGACGTACCCAGTAAAGTTGTAAAATTGATCAATGTGAAGTTCAAATGTTGAGATATTCAGCACTATATAGACCGACTACGACCATTCCCTCATCCTGGCCCGGACGGTCTGCCAACCTTTTGGTTAAACTATGGTGGCCCTGTTATGTCACGTAAAATTTTGAACACACCATGTCCATGGAGTCGACAATGTTTCCCGTCCAAGGGAGCATCCTTGGCCCATTGCTCTTCTTGTTGCACATTAATGACATAACTGACGCTATTAAACATGAGGCACGATCCCTTTTAGCTGAGGACATTAAGGTACTGCACACTTCTAACGCTGGATACCAAAGGGTCACCTTGGAAAAGATACGGAGAGAATTATTGGTTCTCGAAGCATTGTGTGATAACTGACAAATGTTGTTTGCTGCGGGTAAATGCGAAGTATTGGCGTTTCGACATAAAAAGGTTATGGACACGTTATACCTAATTCCACAATAAAATACGATACTTGGGTATCCACCATTCAAGTGCCCACAGCTTAGCTGAGCCGATGGAATGCATAGCAGTCAACGCCCGCCAAACAGCGAGGTTAATCTTCAAATGATTCGCAATGCGTCACTCTTAGATTCTTATACCCATGATGTGCGGGTCAACTACTGAAAAACTGTCCGATGCTAATTACCAGTTGTTGGAAACGTGTTCGTTTATACCTGGAGTACGTCCAGCGTCGGTTCCCCAAAGTCCCATTTAATAAAGCCCCAAAGCCAAACTATTCGGAGCGCTTTATATTGCTTGAATTGGAGCCGTTGTGGCTAGGGAGACTGAAACTGGACTTGAAGCTTCGGTTAGACGTAGCGCACAAACGCGTATTTAATCCAATGAACAATGATTTATCACGGGCAAATTGCGTGTGCTTGACAAGTCCCGTAGGATAGATGAAGTAAAAATTAAAATTCGAAGGATCATCAAATAAGTAAATGGTTATTACAAGCGTCTATCGGGTTAAATGCACTACTGCATAACGATAGTTTGCAGTGGGAATGGTATGTGCACACGCAAAATAATATAGATAACTGTTATAGTTCAGTCAGTGCGTGAGAAAT